GCTGCCAGACTCAGCGGAGGCTTTAGAATTCCTCTGTGCAGCCTTAGAAAGCAGCAGAGTCCATGAAGGAATCAACGTGTGATCTCAGTGACTTTGAGCTGAGAGCCTGCTGATCTCCTGATGTTCATAAATCAGTCACAGTGGAAGATGAAGTTCTGCTCATCACCATCAATATCAGCTGTTTCTCCTGTTATAACAGATCAATATTTACTCGTGAGGAACAGAAAGATAAAACCTGAACAAAGTCTGGATTCAATCACTGCTTCACTGGAGTTTCCCAGCTGACGACAAACAGGTCGTCAGCTGTTTACGTCTTTTATTTTTATTTAATCAGTTTAATTTAGCAGGGACAGTGAACTTTATTAAGCATATTTCAAATGCACCAGAATTAGCCAAAAGACTATTTTTCATCTGTAGTCCCTGGACAGTTGATACATAGTCAACCTATAAAACTCAAAAAAACAATTATAAAATTCATTTAATTTAATTTAATCATTTAAAATGAAGTCCTACATTATGAAGGCATGTATTACAATGAGATAGAAAACACAGACATTGTACTGAAATGCTTTTTCAAGTACTTCAAATACTATTTTTTTTATTCAACGTGCAACCCAGAGCTCATAACGAGTACATACATATAATGACTGACAGGTGCGGAGTACGAACATAGCAGCATGCACAGTGTACATTAGACTAACCCAGGAAAAAAACAAAGTCACAAATAACTTGCAGGTATAAGAGGGCAGACTGGCAACAGCAGACCAGGCCAGGAACATGCAATTTCAGTTTCAGTGTTGACAGAGCTGAGTACTGATTAACCATTTCTTTAAATAGGTTTGAAATGAGCTGCATGTGTCCTATTCTCTGATAGTGGTTGGGATGGAGTTCCATTCTGATTCAGCTTTGACCAAAAATGCAGACTGACTCAGATGACTTTTTCTTAATGGGATAATACAATCCCTTCTTGCTGACCCTCTGGTGCAATGATACACAGTTGTTCTTGTATTAACAAACTGACTGAGTGGAGGAGAAGTCAGTCCTTTTTTAATCTTGTAAATGAGACAAAGCATTCACATATTTAATCAGATTTTCCCTGCTCAACAAGTTGTATTTTGCTAATATTGGGCAATGATGAAAACCTAACTATTTTTTGTCCAGAACTTTAAGTGTTTGGACTGTAATGGTAGTAGCGTAGTGGCGCTTGCCTGTGACATGTACATCTTAGCTGCCTCTGTTGACATGTAATCGAAGGTTACAGTGTCAGTGGAAGGTGGCCTCAGTGTTAGACTGCAAACAGGAAGAGAAGCTGCTGTCACTCAAACTGATTCACTGGTCTTAATACAGGGAGTCCTGTTCAATAAAATCTAAGTTCTTCAGCGTTTCTGATGACTGGTGATGGACCTGCAGCTGATTCACTCTGTGGCCCTCGGACTAAAGGCTGCGTCACTTAGCAACAAGATAACTGTTAGAATTATGTGGTTAATCAGTCACTAATTCTTGGCTGTAGACAAGCTTCACATTTTTGCATGTTCACCTTACTACTGTTAACTGAAAAGACGGGATAACAACAGCAGCAATTGAAACTGTATTTTCATTTGAGGAAACTTCTCGGATATTATTAAGAAAAGATCCAGAAATTACAGACAGAAGCTTCACTTCTTCACTTTTTTAATCTAATTCCACATGTGTTCTTTCATTTGTTTATGTATTCAGTATTAATCTACAATGTAGAAAATAATAGCAAAGAAAAAACATTGAATGGGAAGTTGTGTGTGGGTGTTTTCAAACTTTTGACTGATACTGTAGTCCAAAAACAAATGTCAAGATCAACATAAAAGTAAAAAGGGCCCTTTTAAGCACGGGCACACAAGTGTGTAAAATGAAATAAGGTTATTGAATTAAAGTTAAGTTAAAAAGATGTGAGGCACTGTACCAGAAGTTAAGGAAAATAAATGGAAAATAAAATGGGGCCTGATATGGAGCCTTGTAGTACACCACAGGAGGTGGACACAGTCACGTTTTCCACACAGGAACTTTACTCAGGAACTAGGAACCTAGCATCATGCTTGTGATCTAAGAACTGCAACAGAAGCACTGTTCATGCTGTTGCAATGGCAGCAAACATCTGTGTTGTTCCTCGTAGGCCACACATATTTGGGTGTCTGACTGGGTCCCATGACGTCTCCTTCCAGAGACAACCATGCTACTCACTCTTACGTTTTGACGCCGTCACTTAATCAGCAGTGGTGAGACCAGGAGTTTTCCCACTAGCTCCCTTGTGTTGATGTTTGCTGTCTAACAGCCTGTGAGTCTGAGACAAAGGGTGCCTAAGCGTTCCCAATCCCTCCTTCACTCACAACACAAGGTGCTGATTGTGCACGCTTGTTGATCTGTTGTTGTACTGGTGCAGGCACCTTCCTGCAGTGGCTGGCGGGAATCCACGTAGTTCTTTCCGCCATTTTTACCGCTGTGTATGTTGTCAGGAGCACCTTTCCACCTCTGCGCCTTCCAGTGCTTTTCTTCTGAAGTCCTTCACCACCACAGAATCTCCTGGCAGGAGACTGTGCAGTGGTTCTGTCGCTGGAGAGGGTAGGGCCTCTTTAACCTGCTGATGTAGACGGACAGAGCAGAGGACAAAGTCTGGCAATACTTTAACATTCAATCATTCTCACAGTGATGTGTGTCAGGCGGTACTCTGCTCGCTGCCTCTGTCCCTGTTAGTGGAGGGCGCCCTAAAAGAATCATACCTGGTTCTTATCCTGGTTCTCATCAACACCACCGGCAACACCTCTGTTCATGGAAGACCTGTGTCTTCACAAACTTAGCTAGCTTAACCTTTAGCATTCTATTCTGTTTCTCTACTGCTCCACCGATTGCTGGGTGGTGGGAAAAATGTTGTCTCAAATCAGTGTCCATATAAGAGCCAAGCTGTTTTCATGGCTTCACTTCCTAAAGGTGTTCTGTCGTCACTGTCAGTTTAGGAAGGCACACCCCAGCATGGCAAGATTTCACAAACCAGAGCTTTTGCTCCAGTTGCAAGTTGGAAAAGCTTCTATCCATTTTGGGAACATATCAACTATCATCAACAGCACGTATTGACTTTGCTTGGGTTTAGCTAAAAACCTCCCTCATCAGGTGGTCACATGGTTCTTCTGGTGGTGGATGTGCTGCAAATGGAGCCTGTAATCCTCTCCCTGTCTTAGGTAGACTGAGCATGTTTGACAGAAGTTGTGAGGTGTGTTGGGAAACCTTTCATAAACCTGTCTCTTCCTTCATCACAATATTTCATTAGAAGTTTTTATTACAGTTTTACAACACCAGCAATCTGTAGTTTTCTAGGAAGGCTAAAAACTATAAAGGAAGAAGAAAAATCGGTTAGTGTGAGATATTAGGCTCTGGCTGCTGCTCCTGTGTAGGAGAGGGAAAACTGTCAACAACAACAAGACAGTAATTCATTCACATGATGTTAGTTCAGTCCATTATATGATGACGTCACTCATTTCACTGTAATAAAAACAAATGATGGCATATTATTCTGGGTGACACTGTGTGTGTAAAACAGCCTCTGAGCTTCCAGGCTGTCTGATAACACACCTCACACACAGACTTGTTCTCATCACGTTCCATAGTTTTGCATTCAGTTGCCCCTTTTCTCTGTGGAGGAGAGTTCATGGGCAAAACTCTGGACTATGTTTAAAAAAAAAAAGGGATTTAAACAATAACATCAAACAACAAGGAACGAGCAGGCAGCATTCTTTTCCTGTAGAAATCTGTTAGAAGTCTGTTAGCGTGCATCACATTTTATCATCAACACGGCAGCAGCACACAAAGAAACATCCAGCATAACATAAAGCAACAGACACAGCAAGCAGCACGACAATAAGCACCAGGCATCTGGTTTGCTTCCAAGATGTAGTGTCAGAACAGGTCATGTGATCGTCCTTCGGTCAAGTCAAGTAAGAACGTAGGTCAGATCTTTGTAGTCCCCGAGTACAGGTAGACTATAGAGAACCAGCTCAGTCAGCTCAGCTTCGTCAGTTCAAGTCAGTCAAGTGCACTGTTAGTTTACCATGAATCATGGGAGAAAGGTTTCTCTCTCTGTTCATTCTTTGTCAGTAATGGGATCCCTTGTCCATAAAATCATCATCACCTTCTTTATGGTGATTGAAATGCACAGCAGAACGAGAGAAAGAGAAAGGCAGAGCTGAGACAGAGAAACGGCCCTTAAATGCTGTCAAATTATATCTTCATGATTTAGGGACATGGTGTAACTACTAGCAGGGCTGCCCTCATGTTGCATCATATCGTCACATCACAAAACCTTTCCAGAGTTAATGCTATTTTTTATTAAAATAATCATGCCATGGAGGAAAGCAGGAGATGCGTCTGTATGGGAATAATCTAGAAAATAAAGACCTGTATAGTTGTTTCAGGTGGACGTATAGAGCTTCATGATGATAAACATAAAGCCAGTCAGAGCTCTGAGGAAATGCAGATGCAAAACAAACAATCCAAAGTTCCCAAACTGATACAGGCCTACAGAAATTTTAAATCCTGTTAATCCAGTTATCCTGTTAAATCCTTAATTGTGGATTTTTTCTTAAACAAAAAGAATTTATTCTTTGCTCTTTGTTTCTAATGCAAATACTTTTTTCTGCTCTGTATTACAGTATTTACTGCTGTCAAAAATAAATACTGTTTCTGATTCTTTTTTTTATTATTAATCTTTTACATCCATGCAGCACTTTTATGATATATAATAAGAAGCTACTCTTTTATCTTAATAGTTTACACACAACCTTATCAGAGCTAATGATAATATTAGTACATTTTAGCACGCCAATTTAAGCACGCCATTGTCAACTTTAATCATATAAAACGTAATTTCCCAACAACAAAAATGTGGCTAGTGAAAATACTGCATGGCTAGTAACTTTGGAAAACCACTAGCCACATTGGCTAGTGAGCAAAAAAGTTAATGTCAAGCCCTGGTTGTGTTACTGCCCGACACTGGTCCCTCACTGGTGTTTCATCCTCAGTGGTTCATGATACTCTCTTGTTTCACGTTACTAGTCTTCAGATGATTCCACTTTTGGACAGTTTGCATAGATTCTTACTTTCGGTTGGACATTTTGGACAGTTCGTTTGTTTATGGATAAATGATCATTTATTTTAGACTGCCAAGCCACTCAGCTGTAAGTAACTTTCTGGCTAATAAATTTAATTTCACCTGTGTGTGTCTGCATTTGGGCCCTAAACCTCTGAACGCTTGTGTAGCTGTCCACCTACACATTAACCCTACAGTTAATTTGTATGTTACTTCCTGTTCTCTCTCTTAAACAAACTAGTTTTTCCTGATTCTTGTGTTCTGAGCTCACAGACAGTGTCACTGTTTTACCTCCAGTCTGACTTCAGACCAGAAGATGGAAGAGGAGGACAGAGCAGAGTCTGCAGGATCCAGCTGTCTGTCTCTGAAGAGTGACCGGTCCAGACGTAAACCTCCAGACTTCAGTAATGAACCTGGACCCTCAGACACAAAGTAAGAGATCTGCTGCTAACTAATTTATATGATTCATTTTCTGTTACCTCTGGAATGTTGTCTGTGTATCAGGTCTAAAGCTACGTATAAATTTAATACAGTTATGGAAATTAATATATTACATTAATATTAATTCATGCCTCGAAACTAGGAGCACCACCTAAGGATTTGCTTGTACGCCCAAGGCTTTATGTCCTTGAGTACAGCCTGAGAATTACACAAATCTCTGGTAATTCATTAGTTATTAATGGTTCAGTTATTCTGAAGCATTCAAGCAGTCAATCTCAAATCTGAGAGTAAGTTCTATGTATAGGGACAAAGGAGTACAACAGTGGGGTAAATGTGGTAATATTACAGGGACAACAGTCAACATGAAAACCAGAAGGTAATGAACAGAGTATGTTCAGGCTCGATGGAATTTCAGTTTATATTGTAGAGGGAGAGAATTCTACGAGGATGAGGGAATGAATGGTCGAAATTATGTTGCAGATTTAGTTTGACTAATCTAGGGGTTTATTAACTGTAGATGAGGGCCAACTAGAGAACACCAACGAGTCACAGAGTGTGGTTTGTTTTACCTTACTTTTGCCGCAATTCCCCGTAGCAAAGGCTTGACTGCGGGTTGGCTTGTGGAGGTGGTTCTACCCCGACCCCAGTGGCGTTTCGAGTTGAGTTCGAACCGGTGGATTGGTTCCGGAGATGTTTGCGGGAAACGCTTGCAGCAACGGGCCGTCAGCCCAGGCCTGCACTCTGATCTGAGTTCGTTTGGTGTCGCTATAGCTCAGCGGAACCCACTCCAGGCTCTGTCGTTGGAGCCGTGGCTTCGTTCATTCAAGGCAAGAAATGAACGGCTTCTGAGTTTCTGGTCCAAAGTTGTTCAAAACGATCAGATGAGGTTGAAACAACAAAATCAAATAAACTCACACATTTGGAGTAGGTTCGCGAGGCCCCGGGAATATGTGCTATTCAATGTTGCTGAGATTAAACAAGTCTGGGGAAAGTTTCACCCAAGCAGCTCCAAAGAAAATCAAAAATCAAATCTCCCGCTAAGAAAATTGGGGATTCAAGGGCCGAATTTTTCCCAGCTCGTCTGAAGAAAATTTAAGTACGAAACGAAAAAAAAAAAAGATCAGAATTTGAAAGGTAAAGGAAGTTAACGAGAGCGTATACATTTAGTTTCAAAAGAGTTTTTTTTAGAAGACAGATAGACAAAAGACAACAAGGCCTTTTATCTGCCCCCTTTAGGACGTGGTGACATCAATTTGGGAGTGGGTTTCTCTGGGGGGAGTCACCCCAAAAGTGTTACCTTTCTAGTGGGATAAAGAAAATATATATTCGTTGTACGTATTTTCATTTAATCTCTCTCTCTCCACAATATCGACATTTGAAAAATACTCAGTTCTAAACATTCTGATAAAGACAAGCAAAACAAGACTAAACACTAGGGTTAAAGGTTATAATCGTTATATAAAAACGTAACAAAGCTTAACTACATGTTCTCAGTGTAAACTTGATGGTTTTAACTCAAGAGACAATTTAGATGTTAGCGTGGCAGCTACAGTACTTGGCGCTCATTGTCAGCCTAAGCCGAGTTTTAAACACTTTCACGTGTTATACCTTTCCTGTCCCCTTGGTGGCTCTCGGGTCACACGAGAAAACAGTAGACATTCCTGTGTGAGATTTACCACTTTAACTGAGAGGCTGGTGATGCACACACACAGGCGTATCGATGGACGTTTTAGTAGGAAATTGAATATGAAACATTTAAATAAAGCATTAGTAAAACAGAAAGAGGTTAGGGAACTCTAACGACTGTAACGACTGTCGTCACAGCAACAAGGAACACTAACGAACCAGCGGTATCGATGACCCGGGCCAACGACCCCACTGAGGTTAAATAGCTGAGTTTCCCTGCCAGTCAGTCAGAACTGAAGAAGTCCTTTGGATGAGGGACGAAACGTCTTCCAGTATCTTCAACCAAGTCCAGTTGCCCTTGACTTTAACCTTCGTTGGATAACTATGACCTGGATGACTGAGAATCTTCATAGACATGTTAGGGAACTCTTCAAGATTACTTTCTTATGGGTCTGCTAGTTTTCAAACATCACTAAAAGGATAACAACAGGGTCATTACTTACTAAACTCAGAGGCAAACACCGCTGCTCACTTAGCAAGGTTATTATTTAAACAGAACAAACACAGTGATAATGGAACCTTTGTTGGTTCGAGAAACAGGGGTTGTTAGGGTCTTCTCTTTTGCAGCCCTAGCTTATCACATTTCCACATCGGCTAAGAGAGAAGGGAATGGTGGTTTATGGCTCAGCCGTTCTGTGGGGGGAAAAAGAGTCAGGTTGAGGCTGGAGGTGCCCTGCGGGAGAGAGAGAGAGGGGTCAGATAGCCCCTATTGCTGTCCTGTTGAATGTCTCTAGTGACACCTTTACGGCTTGGGAGGTTCACTAAGGCTCTTTGAATACACAATCCTTGAGCGATGCATTGTCTGATTGTCTGATCTCTGCCGATCCCCACAAACTAAGAGACAGTTTTTACTGTAAACTGACCTGATGGAAGATGATGCATTGAGGATGAAGACAAAATGTTCTGCTAACAGATTTATATTCCTGATGCAGAACTATTAGTGCAGATTCTGTTTCAAACTAAGATGGATCTGATTTGATAAGCATTTTGTGATGTTTGGACAATGACGTTAGCATCTGCGGAGCCACGAAATAGCAGGTGTTGTACTGAATTCTGCATGACTGCCAAGAATTGCGTGCACCTCGCGAGTGGTAGACTAACGTTAATTTATGCTGAGAAAAGAGTTGGATGCAATTCTCGGCAAGTAGCCTACAACATCTGTACTGCCGAAATTTTGCTGAATCATAAGGAATGCTACTAAGTGTAATAAATTATTAAGGACTCTAAACGTTCAGAAAATATATAGGCCTACTTTGTTTCATTTATCGCCATTGATGAACCCCACAAAGGATATTATAGCATTTAAAAACAGTTTTTGGAGGTGCATTTCTCGGCATAACATCTGTCTTTATCTTGCTGTATGGGGTCAGCAGACTCGTTTATCGACGTGTGGATGTAGTAAAAGATTCAGAGTTAGGGTTTGTAAGCGTGGATGAAGCAGCTGGGGTTTAGAACCACTAATGTCCATTTTGGAGCGTTTTGAGCTGCTTGCTTTGTTTTGATGTGTGCACTGCCGCTAGGAATCTCCCACTAATTCCAAGTCATTTCATGCGAGGGGGTTTCCTCACAGAGCCACACTGTGAATTTTATGTTAGCTTTAATATGTTTTCAACTAATGAACGTAAATGTTTGTAAATGTATATTTTTATTATTCCTCACTGAAATGTGAATTAAATTAAACTTATATAATTTTGTAAATTATATCATAATTATATTTGGGGGGACATTGCCCCCTAATGCCCCTCCTATACCGTCAACTCCGCTGAAGTCCCTGCTGGTCTTTATACTGGATGTGCTGCATCACTGACTGACAGCTGATGAAGGGAGTCTCTGTAAACTCTGATTTATGACTTCTGCTCTCTGTCTTCTTCACTCATCAGATGGAAGTGATCTCTGTCAGAGTGTGAGGGATCAGAAAGGTGGAGGTGTTGAGAGAGGATCAGCTGTGTCCTGATGATCCAGAGAGGTTGAAGCAGCAGCAGCATCAGCTTGTGTGTGGAGAGGCTCTGACTGGGCCATGTTACTGGGAGGTAGAGTGGAGAGGAGAGCTTCATCCAGCAGTGACTGACAGAGGAATCCCAACAGTGCTGCAGTCTGAACTGCTCTGAGATCAGCTCCACTGTCACATACAAAGTCACGTCCACCATCATCCCTGTGTGTTCCTCTGGATGTGACAGAGTATCATCAGTGGATCTGGACTGCTCTGCTGCTGCTCTGTCCTTCTACACAGTCTCTGCAGACACACTGAGACTCCTCCACTCCTTCTGATCCACACTCAGACACCTCCTCCACTTGGACCTGGACTTTATTTTGTCTTTTTTGTTTTAATAAGTCTGTACTGATACAGCCAGATTACCATTTCCCATTAATATGAAAAGGAGGTGAGTTTCTCCCCCCAAAAGCAGACACTTCCTAACTCAAAAAGTCTCAACAAAGGTTAAAGTAAAGGGCAACTGGACTTGGTTGAAGATACTGGAAGACGTTTCGTCCCTTTGCCAGGGTCGTCGATACCGCTGGTTCGTTAGTGTTCCTGGTTGCTGTGACGACAGTCGTTACAGTCGTTGAGACTACCTGTGGCCAAGACTGAACGACCATCGTTGGTATCTTCACCTGAGGCCAATAGGTTACGTTTGTTGAGTTTCCTGGGAAGTGATGAAAGGACAGCATTGTAAGTGGGGGATAAGTGGTGGCGTAGACCCCCTCCCCTGTTCAATGACGGCTTCTCCACCCTGGTGTAGATGCTTCCTTGACATCTCTTTCAAACCATCCATCTTCTCTGTCTAAAATGTGCACCTGGTGGTCCTCAAACGAGTGTCCTCTGTCCTTCAGATGTAAGTAGACAGCAGAGTCTTGACCTGAGGAGTTGGCCCTTCTGTGTTGAGCCATGCGTTTGTGTAGTGGTTGTTTAGTCTCCCCAATATACAGGTCTGTGCATTCCTCACTGCATTGGACCGCATACACTAGATTGCTTTTCTTGTGTTTTGGTGTGTGGCCTACCACCAGGAGCCTGCAGATTGGTGTTTACAGAAAACCCCCACACACAATACCTACTGTTCGATTCCCACCACCCACTGGAGCACAAGCTAGGGGTCATGAGAACACTGCACCACAGAGCGGAAAACATACCAACAAGCGCCCAAGCCAGAGAGAAGGAACAGAACCACCTGAAGGGGGCACTTACAGCCTGTGGAGACCCTAAATGGACCTTTGTGAAGACAGCCACAAGATCCAAGAAGAACAAAACTACAGGGGAGGAAAAGAAGGTCAAACGCAACAACATTGTGATTCCATACATGTCTGGATTA